CCCAGCTCGAAGCCACGGCTTCGATGACTTGAGCCACGTGCACGTGCACCCAGAGCCAGGCGAAGCTTTCCGAATGAGGGCCTCGGTTCTTTCGCGGTTAGGGTTTAGGGTTTAGGGTTTAGGGTTTAGGGTTGAGGGATAAGGGTTCATTCAGGGTTTAGGGTTTAGGGTTTAGGGATTAGGGTTCAGGGTTTAGGGCTTCGGGTTTAAGGTTTAGGGTATGCCCCAACATATAAGTAGTACCCATGAACCTTCAAGTAGGGGATTACGGCTTGAGGATGTTTAAGGGCTTAAGGGGTCTTAAAGCGCTTTAGGGGTTAGGGCTTAATGGTTGAGGGGTTTAGGTACGGTTAGGGTTTAAAGCCCTAAACCCTAAGCCCTAAGCCCTAAGCCCTAAGCCCTAAGCCCTACGCCCTACGCCCTACGCCCTACGCCCTAAGCCGCAAGGAAACCTCCACAGTCCCCAAACTGCCGGAGGACTCGGCATCCCCAATGTCAACACATTATTTGTGGGGCTGTTGCAGGCAAACCCAAATCCTAAACAAGACCCCATGAGAACCCTAGAACCCTGGAACCCTAAACCTGTAGGCTCCAGAAGTAAGTCCCAGCAACCCTATACGTCTGCAGCCTGAGAACCTAAATCCGTAAACCCTCAACCTTAGGGTTTAGGGTTGAGGGTTCAGGGTTTAGGGTTCCCTACACCCTCAACCCTAAACTCCAAGCACAGTTGCAGGCCCCTGGCCCGATATGAAGATCGCGGTGGACTGGGACCTTCCTCGCGGCCGGTTCGCAAGACGCGAGCCTTCCGGGGCTTAGGGTTTAGGGTTTAGGGTTTAGGGTTTAGGGTTTAGGGGTTTGGGGTTTTGGGGTTTTGGGGTTTGTGGTTTAGGGTTTCGGCTTTTTGGGTTTGGGGTGTCAGGGTTTTTGTGGTTTAGGTCGTCGGACAGGCTTGAGGTTTTTTTGGGTTTGTGGGCTTTTACGGCTTAGGCTTAGGGCAGCTGGTGCGAGTGTGTGTGTGTGTGTGTGTGTACGAGGGTTAGCTGCCATATAGCCCCTACACCCGAAGCCAGCTGATTCCCAAACTCCAAACCCCAAGCCCTAAAGCCCCCAACCCCAAACGAGGGTTGCAGAGGGAGTCTTTGGCGAGCCCACAAGGGAAGGCAAAATCCCGAAACCCTCAACCCTTACACCCTGACGACCGAAGCCCTGCCCTGACGTGCCTTGCAGTAGGTGTTGGTAGAGCCTCCTATAACCCAATACCCTAGATCCTTGACGTCCTGGCCCTAAGCCCTAACCTTTTGAGCCCAATACACCCGAGGCAGCCAACATGGCAAAGCCGGAAGTGCGGGGCTTAGCGGTGCATCAGGGGGCCACACCGTGACAGTATGGTTTACTTGCCGCTTCATGCGAACGATTCGAACTAGAGTTGCCCTACTTATCTCCCTATACTTAAAAGCACCCATGAGCCTCCAAGTATGTTTGGAGTTCAGTGACTAGTCTTCCTCGAAATAGTGCCCCGATTGTAAGGGGGTCATTTCATTTTTGGGGCTCCCTTATTCTTATCGCGACCGTATATGGAGGTTGCTCTAAGCTAGAGCAGGACCCACATTCGGGAAACCCATAAGTTAGATTGCGTGCTTGTTGGGGGAGAGCAGCAGACATCCTGGAACTTCTTCGGGTTATCAACGTTGTATTCCTCTCGGCTACGGGTACCAGAAAAGGATCTTCGACTACATCGGCTTGAGAGGTCAATGTTGGTTGCCACATGCCCAGAGGACCCAAAAACCCCCTTAAGAAAAATTTTCAGGAAAACTACTTTCAGTTCTAAACCCTAAACCCGAAACCCTAAACCCTAAACTGATCAATGGTACCGAGAACCAGTGAAGAACGCTCCTACATCCAACTTCGAAGTATCAACAGGACCCTCTAGTATGATTGCAGGTATGTTCTACCTTCATTGGGGGGTGGGCTCCCTCTGACTTACCCTAACCTAAACCCTAAACCCTAAACCCTAAACCCTAAACCCTAAACCCTAAACCCTAAACCCTAAACCCTAAACCCTAACCCCTGAACCCTGAACCTTAAACCCTAAACCCGAAACCCTAGTGCCAGGCTATTACCCCCCGCTTCGCTTTCCGCGGCTGGGCGAGGATGCCAGAGCTGCCCTCAGCAGGGGGTGTCGGGTTTGCGGCCCAATATGGGGGTTTAGGGCTTAGGGTTTAGGGTTTGGGGTTTGGGGTTGTTTAGGGTTTATGGGGGTTTCCGAAATTAAGGGTACCTTGTTGGGGGCCCTTGTTGCACGGGAATCCTATTGTTTGGGGGTCTATACTAGGGGTCCCCTATTTTCGTAAACCCCCATATGGGGTCAGAAATACAATCTACGAGAGGGTGAAGGGGATAATTCTTGTAATTCCTGAGGCTCCTGTACAAGGCATTCGCGATCAGATTCATTGATGTAAAATCCCGAACATTTCCGAGTGGAGTGCTGCAACTAGGAGTGTCTGGATGACTGGGTCGTTAAAAAAAATGCAATATGTCCAGACAAGATATTCTATACAAAAGCGGTATAACATGAGTTCTCATTCATCTGGATCGCATTGTTGAAAAGTGTTTCGTGCGAGGGTTTCGAGGTTTCGGGGTTCCCTGTCGCACACATGGCTCCGGCTACAAACCCTATAACTTACATGGATACCCACATAGTGACCTGGCATCCACCTGAAGGTGCTCTCTAGACAACCTGTTTGACCCAGCGTTTTATATGCAGATGCCCCTCCTACCACTTTGTACTGGCAGTCCTGGTAAAGCCAGAATCCTGATAATTCCTTGGAACAAATCCTGATAATTCTGTAAGGCCCCGACCGGGCCGCCTCGTGGTGCAACGGGGAGGAGCCGAGGAGCCAGGGAGATTCTGCCAAGCGACGCTTTTGCTGCGGGGTCCGCTTGGAGGTTCATGGGTACTAATAAGAAGTAGGGTTGTACCCTCCAGACGCATGTCACCGCGCAAAACCGACATGCCGATTTCCTCGGTATTTACAGTGTTTCCTTAAGGTCACATGCCGAAACCCTCGCTGCCGTCGGTGTTTTCGGCTCCTCCACTTTTCGCCTTTTGGGACAGGCCCAAATCATCGGTCTTTACAGTGTTTCGCGCGTGTTGCACGCCGGAAACATCGGTATTTGCGGTGTTTTCCTCGTGTTACACGCCGAACACCTCCGTGGCCAGAGCATCCATGCCCGCACGATGATTACGTCCGTGTTACCAGTGCGTGCGATTGGCCAGAGCATCCATGCCCGCACGATGATTACGTCCGTGTTACCAGTGCGTGCGATTGGCCAGAGCATCCATGCCCGCACGATGATTACGTCCGTGTTACCAGTGCGTGCGATTGGCCAGAGCATCCATGCCCGCACGATGATTACGTCCGTGTTACGCGTCCGTGCGATTGGCCAGAGCATCCATGCCCGCACGATGATTACGTCCGTGTTATCACTCGCTCTTTGCGCTTGGCTGCCAGCCCCGGATCAGGGTTAAGTTAGTTGTCCCCTTTTGATTTGTCACCGTGTTGCGCATCTCTGGCATCGATGCACCGCTGCCGCTGCCTGCAGTAGGGGATTAGTTCTAGTCGTCTTTTCAGGGTTACGTATTGACTGCACCTTTTTATTGACGTATGTGGCAGCTTCGAATATCTGTCAGCTTGCCGATGTTACCATGCAACATGCTGTCCTGGCACTTTAACAGACAGGGGTTTGTTTCGGCATGGTGTCATCTGCGGATGATGTTGATGCTCTTGTGTTCACTGGCATCAACGCATCAGGCCGCATGTCACCTCGCCTGGCACACGTGCACATCCTGGCAACACGCCACCTGATGCATGCGCCGGGCCTCAAGGCTGTGCTTGAAGCACTGCGCACATACCGTTTGGATCGCTCCGGGCAGGTCGGAGCCGATCCAAAGCACTTCGGACAGTACGAGCACGACCACGCTTGGCTCTTCTGAAAAAAAAAAAGGCGTGAGACGTCTGCCGAATTTAGAGAAAAATTGTATGTCTTTACGCGCGTGTGATGCTTGCTTCAACTATCGATTGTATCGGTATTTACAATGCTTTCCTCTCTTCTCCAAACGTGCGCGCGCGGCCACATACGCCTGCAGCGTTGTTGTAAGTAGGGTAGCTATGGTTGTAACCTTAAATTAGGGTCCTATAGCCCTACTTAGAAGTACCCATGGACCTTCAAAGCCGGGAGACGGTGCTCGCGCGCTCTGAGCTTGCTTATCTTGCACAAAGCAGCGTGAGCACCTTAAACCCTGAAGATGTAGGGCCCTGAGCCCTGAAGCCGTAAACCCGAAACCCCAAACTCCCCAAAATTCCCCAAATGAGCCCTATAAACCTCCAGGGCCCCTTTAAGCGCCTCACCCTAAAATGAGCCCTATGAACCTCCAGGCCCCCTTTAAAAACAAACGCTTCACCCCAAAGAGAGCCCTCAGATTCCGCAGGAGGTATGCGGCCTTCAGCAGCGCCATAGAGGCGATGAGGCCCGCCGGCTCCATTTCGATGATTCTTTTTTCGATGCAGGGTTTGGGGTTTAGGGTTTAGGGTTTAGGGTCTAGGGTTTAGGGTTTAGGGTTTAGGGTTCCTTGTATTGGTTCACATCACCGTTATAATTGTTTGTGACGACGATGGTGCTCATCTCCTCTCTCCCAGCTCACCATGAGGATTCTGCCGCAGTTTGCGTGTTGGGGATCCCGAGCGTCTCTCAGCGTGGTCATGTCATTATCCCCCCTAACCAGCACGTAGCGCTTCCGAGTAGGAAAGAAGGATTCGTTCACCCATCTTTTCAACGCTGCATGATTGGCTGCATGATTCAGGCACCTATGTTTACATGCCTGCAGAGCTTATTCGTCGTGTCCAGCACGTCCCCTGCTTGTTGGAGGCCACTGCCGCTCCCTGCAAGCCACGCAGCTCAAGTGATTCGAAGAGCACAAGATTCTTCAACGTTGCACGACCATGGCCTTTTCCACAGAGCTGATTGGCATCCTGCTTATGGCAGCATCGGGGCTGGCGGTGACTTGCGAGATGGTCACCAGTAAGATCATTGAGGACATGCACTGGCCATACTGGTACCTCTTGGCAGCTTGTTGCGCCGTCGCCACCATCGCGAACGGGTTTGTCCTCTGGTGGCAGGGAGTGGGCTGCCCACAGGTACAGGATGTCAAGTGGATTCTTGCGCGAGCCCTCTTCGAGAACCTACATTGGATGTTGGCCATTTATGCGGTGCTGGTCGGGGCTGCTCCGGGCGATGTGGCTGCGCTCACAAGCATCGACATCATCGCAGCAGCGCTGTTGGGCCTTCTGTTCCTGGGGGAACGAGTCAGCGTTGTCCATTTCGTGGCCTTGGTTCTGTCAGTCACCGGCGCCATTTGCATCTCGCAGCCGCAATTTCTCTTCGGGATCGTGGAGGGGTCAAAGCAATCCCCCCTTGGGTACTGCCTGGCGATGCTGGCTGGCTGCTTCCAAGCTGGTGCTTTCGTCTGTGCCCGCAAATCGGCCCACCTCCCAGTGTCTCTGCTCACCGTTGTGTCACTCTTTCTGACTGTGCCGCTGGCCTTCGTGCCGCCATGCCTGAGCCCTGGCGCCGACTCCATGGACCTAGTGATGGAGAAGCCTTGGGAGGCCCTGGGCCTTCTCTCCATGATGACGGCCTGGGTCTTGTTCTCCATCTTGCTTCCGGCAGCGGGGGCCACAAGATGCCCGGCGGCGGTCAGCGCCACGGTCTTCACGTCCTCCAGTATGATCTCGGGCTACCTGGCTCAGACCGTCCTCTTCGATGATGTCCCCAAGCCACTGAAGCTCTTTGGAGCTGCGTGCATGCTGTTCAGCGTGGTGATGATGGCGGTCCGCTGCCAGAGGGATGAGGAACCGGAGCCTTCCTGCGCAGATTGCTCCGCAGAACCCGCGCCAGGGCCCGAAGCCAGCGTAGCTGAGGAGGACGACGAGACGATGAGCCTGGGATCCTTCGTTGCCTCGGAGGTCTCCTTCACGTCGAGCTCCAGGAGCCTGCGGCGGCGCATCAGCACGGGCAGCTCGAAGCCACTGCCACAAAGGCTTGGCGCCTGCTTGCCTGTGGTGTCCTTGTCTCAGCTGTCGGCTTGACACCTATGAAACCAGAGTTGCTTTTGCTGATCTCGCTAGTCGCAGATCAGTTGTACAGTCTGCGATCCTATACAGGGCCTCGGATGGCCAGCTCACGCGGTGGGTTCAAAAGAACAGGGCAACAGGCTTTTGCACACGGAAGCCCCCAGCCTTGGGCCCCAAAGTCATCCCCAACTTGGTGACGTTTGATCGATAGAGATATCGAGAGCAAAGGAGTTTTTGCGCCACGCCCCAATGCCCCCCCCAAACCGCCCTTCCCCCCTGAAGATGAGGTGCCCACAACTCATTTAGTTTCTGCTTTTCAGCCTCTTTGCCAGCAGTGCTTCGATGTGCTGTGCAACCTCTACACCCTGTAATTTTGCATTGCGATAACCCTTGCATTTTAACATCATGTGCATATCGTCCCGTTGCATTACCTCGCAAGCCCTCTGCAGTAGAAAATAGAGCGTTCGCTCCTGCATGGCTTAACGGTATTCCCAACTCAGTGCTTGTGATTACACCTTGGAGTTTCCCTGATAACTATAGGTTATCAGCCGTATAGCCTACAATGCTTGCGGATGCGAACCTGGAGAATGCTTCACCTGAACTTGTACCTGCCGAAGAAGCAGCTACAGAACGTACAGGACTACCTCTGCTGCTCCCGGCAACGGGAAGCCGAGCAGGGGCACCAGAGACGCACCTAGATCAACAGTCGTACCCTCAAGCAGTGAACTTCGCTAACATGTCCATGCATGATGGTCGGAACCTCAGCATGGCGGCGAACTTCTTTTCGCAGACGAATGTGTTTCATGTTCATGATGAGAACCGAGCACGTCTTAGGACGGAGCTAAGTTTCTTAGAGATTGAAGCGGAGAGAAGACACACACTGGCCATGGAAGAACAGGCCCGTGCAAATGAACAAGGTGTTTCGAACCTTGAGGAACTCGCCGAAAGAGTACATGCTACTCGAATGGCATCGTGCGAAGAGCGATTCGCGAGGTTCGAGCAACGGTCAGCCACCAGGGAACTTGGATTAATCGAAGAGCTTGACGAAATGCAAGCCCGAATTGCAAGCATTGAGCAAAACGTTTCACAATCAGAGGCGCTTCTCGCCCAAAGGATGCAAGAGCAGTATCATCAACAACTCAACAGTTTTGCTGCACAACAATCGCAGTTCCTCCTCTCGGAGTTCGAAGAAAACTTCCAGGTCTACCAAAGAACCGAAAAGGAAGAATTCGATGCGATGTTGGATGCTGCGAAAGAACAGCAAGACGAAATTGAGGACAAGCTGTTGGCCACTGAAAGGGCACTTAGGTTCGCAGAAGAATCGCAACAACAACAAGCCCCTGTGTTTCCTAGTGCACCTTCTGCACCGAACGTGGTAACGCCAAACATGTTGAGCTCTAGCATGCGAGGACTCCTGGCCCAGATGAATCCAGGTAACACAACTGCACAACAGCCCCAAGCTGGTGCAGCTGCAGCGCCCTCAGAAGGACAGACGATCGGTGGACCGGTCAGTGCGAATGCGGCTGGCTCAGCTCAGCCTGCAGGACCTACTGCAGGACCCTTGACGACCCCTCCGGGTCTAGGAAATCCTGCAGCACCCGTTACCGGGATGCCGGCCACTGGTCTGACCTCAGAGACTCTGCTCGCAACGCAGGCAGCAATCCTCGAAAACCTTCGCCTCATGAAAGGTGAGAGGACTGAAGACGACAAACCAAAGGTGAAGGAAGCCGAGAGCATTAGATTGCCAGACTTCCCAAATCCCGAAACGTACAGGTCATGGAAGACTGCGACCCGTGAAGCTATTCGTGCGGCCAGCGATAGACCCGATGATGCTTTCGAGTGGATACTTGAAGTCTATGACAAGAACGCATCACACGAAAAGCTAAGAGAGCCAGGAAAGTTTGTGACTCTCGACACGAAGCTGCTCGCTGCACTCAGTAAGGTCGCAAAGGGAGACCTCGGTAGACACATCCTGAACTTCAAGGAAACCGAGGCCGCCCAAATGAGATCCGTGAGGGGTCGTCAGGTTCTTTACCTCTTCGAACAACACTTCAAAACCAACGAAGAAGTGGGCTCACTCTACTCAGTTGAGAACCTTCAACAGACCTCACATCGTTTCTTCACAACTGGGAGAGTGTCATTGCAGGAATGAGCCATGTCCCTGAGGAAATGGTACTACGAGATATTCTGCTCAGACAGATTAGGAAGTCAAGTCGTATGAAGTATGACTTAGAGATTTACGACCGTGCCAAGGAAGGATCTGCCTCTCACACCTACTCCTTCCTTTTGCAGTCGATTAGGGACTTGCTTACCAGGGAAAGGGTCAGGAAAAACCGAGACAGGATCGCCAAGTCCCACGGGGACAAGTTTGGGGCTCCTGCCCCGACGCGCCCGTCTCGCCCCTCAAGCCGAGGTGGCCGTGAGAGGTAGATCGCCATCTAGGAGCACGAGTCGCTCGCGAAGTAGCAATGCCAGCTCCCCAAAGAGGTCAAGCAGCCCGAAGGGAGTATGCTACGATTTTCTGAAAGGTACCTGTACTCGTGGTGACAAATGCACTTTCCTCCACAAGACTAGGTCCCAGTCACCGAACTCGAAGAAGCCTGACAAAGCCCCAAAGATCGGAGGTAGAATTCAGCGTGTCTGTACTTTCTGGAAGAAAGGGAAGTGCAACAAGGGCGAGAACTGTCGTTTTCTCCACCAGGAGAAGCCAGCCGCAGCTGCGAAAGCTAAGGCGGCTGCTGCCACCCCTGATCCCACTAATCCTAAGCCTAGATCCCCCTCGCCCGCTCCTAGGAGACCGAAAAGCCGAGGTAGGTCTAAGAGCAGGGACAAGGCAGCAGCGTGTTGCCTCGCAGCACCTGCTGTGCAACCAAGCCCCTTGGAGGACACATGGGAGGTCGACTTCAAGGGTGGAGTGTTAATCAGACACCATCGCGTAGAGAGAACAGGCTGGTTTGCACCAGGCAGCGACTGCCCGATCAATGTCCGGCGACTTAAGAGCAAGGTTAGGGTAGAGAAAATCTTCCCAGAGTACCCTCGCTTTGCTGCAGTGGCATGGAACTGGAGGAAGACTGCCCCGGAACCATCCTCTAGGGCCTGGGTAGGCAAGTCTACTTTCAAGATAGAGCCACTGAAGGTCACCTTCTGTGATGAACCTGTCATGAAGGCCATTCCTGTGGAAGGTGATGGCTTCAGGCACATCAGGAGGAAACGTCGTTTCAGCGTGGCTTACGCCACCGCCGAGGACTGCCCCAAGCCGAGCATGAAAGAACAGAATCGTGCCAGGATCGAAGCTAAGCAACTTGAGGCATTGGTGATCAGCATGACGAACGATGTACCTACTAAGTGTGGTTATATGTGTGAAGACCTGACATGTGAGTCATGCGAACGCACCCCCGCACCTGCCTGCTCAGGCATAGTGCCCGGCCTAGAGTTCCTAGCCGACACTGGTAGCGAGGAAGACCTCATTAGCAAGGAGGATCTGAGGATTCACTACCCGAGCGTCGAGGTCAAAACTGCATCAAGGCCTGTGAGTCTAATCACAGCGAATGGCCCAGTACTCGGGGATCAATCTGTCAAAGTCGACATCCCTGAACTGAGCCTCCCAGTTGAGTGTTATCTACTGGAAAGCACTCCTCCTGTCTGCTCTGTCGGGCGAAGATGCATGGATGAGGGTTATGACTTCCACTGGCATGCGGGGAAGGTCCCTTTCTTTGTCACTCCCGACGGCAGGAAGCTGAAGTGCAAACTCAAAGGCAGGGTCCCTGTGATCGCAGAAGGCTCTGTTGCCACTCCAGCTATCGAAGAGGAGAGTAACATTGTCTCCCCGGTGTTCAGCCAGGGGGGCAGCTCGCTTTTTCAGTAGATAGCGGCCCTTGCGGGCTCGCCGGTGCTGCGCATGAACATCCCGCCGGTGAAGACGAACAAGACGAGGACCCAGGTAACCACCTTGATCCTGAGGTCCGCGATGCAATTTCCAAGGTGCCGCCGATCGCCATTTCCAAAGAACAGCTAAGCAAAACGGGTTGGACTGCAACTGAAGAACACCGTAAGGTAATCATCGGACACAGACCCAAAGCCTTCAGGACTCCTGCGTCGAGACATCCTAGCTTCGTGATCAGGACAACTTGGGTTTTCAGGGGAGGCGAATGGTCCAAGATCGAGAACAAGGTCGACATGAGAGAGCTTCCGCAAAAGGTTGCTAAGTTCGAAGAGCCGACCATCCTCTCAATTTCGATCTTCGAAAGACCACCTGACAATCCCGTACCTGAACCTGATAGTGATCACGATGAAGCGCCCGATGACGTAGGAGGTTCCGAAAAACTTAGGCTGGAAGCCGAGACTGCTGCCCACAAATTCACCCATCGACCCAAGAATCCTTTCTGTAAAGTGTGCCAAAGGGCAAAAATGATGGCCCCTCATGCACGAAAGAAGGGAGGATCGAGCACTATCGCATCCAAGAAATTCGGGGACCACATCACGATTGACCATGTCATCACGAAGGACTTCCGAGACTTTTGGGTTCGAGGGGGAAAAGGTTGCATTCGTGGTTAAGGATGTCTGGTCCAACTTCAGGTATGTTTACCCGGCCGTTTCCAAGAACGCTGAGGAGTGCTACGAAAACTTGCTGCACTTTCTTCAAGTTGAGGATAGTGTCGGTATAGTGTACTCCGATAATGCGTTTGAGCTTGAAAATGCTGTTAAACGGATTGGCTGCAGGCACAATACCTCTCGAGCCTATGTTGATCAAAACAAGGCTGTCATCGAGAGAGAGATCAGGACTGTCCTCGAAGGCACTCGTGCCAACCTTCTCCAGGCGGGGCTTCCTGATAAAATGTGGCCTTTGGCCGCACAGCATCACACCATGGCCCTGAACACCTCGAAGCGATTCGACACTGAGACTGTTCCTTGGGTAGATCGTTTTGATGAGGAATTCAGTGGCCTCGCCATACCGTTTGGCGCTAGAATCATCTATTGGAATAATCCGAAGCAAAATGTTACAGGTAGCTCTAAGT